GCTTAATACAACTACATAAATGTATTATTATGTAATAAGATGCATATAAAAAAAAAAAAAAAAAGATGCATGCAAATCACGTTTTTTAAAGTAGTGATACAAGTAGTTTTATTTTTTGATCGGTCTGAATCCAATTAACTGAATATTTGACGAAGTTCATATTTACTATATGCTGAAGGGAAATTATGCCCATGATTATGCTTTCATATCATTACAATGAGGAAAGATTTTTTTTTTTTGATCAAATGACAAAAGATTGATGATAATCACAAATAATAGAAGATTGAGATAAAATCTTATTCGACTGAGATAACAAATATTATCCTCCTAAACTGATTAGGAATAAGTAGAGTCCACTCATAGTAGAACTCAAATTCCCTCACACCGACTGATGGAGAGGAATCTAGCTCAGATCATCCAGCACCAGCTCTACTCATTAGGCTAACAGCTCGACATTATTCATCGAGCTCAGCCAACAAATCCGCACTATTCCTCGAGCTCAGCGACTAGCTTCGCACAACTCTGCCAACTCGATCAAACAATTTTGCTAGCTCGGTTGAACAACTCCACCACTGCTGTCAAACAAGAGCACTTCAATTTAGTCTTGCTCGTTGGAAGACGTTCAAATTTGAATAAATCAGATCTCCGAATATTTTGAAAGAACAAAGGTCAAATATAACAGATAATGTCAAATCAAAAGGCAAAAAAAATAAAATTGGAATTATGACGATATCAAGTAATAACTAACGTCAAATTTCAATTAAATGGGTTGCAGGGTGGCTAACGAGGTGTATTGAATTCAACTCTTCAATTATCAATTTTTTTTTCAATTTTTTATAACTTAAATATCGGAAGGTCAATCATGAAAAACTCCTCAAATTTTCTTTTTAGGTGAGCTTGGTCCATCTGACCCGTCGTGGGAGTTTCCTCAAAAAAATTTCATCGACACTAAATATATTTGAATCTGTTAAAAAATAAAATTCTTATTTGAAATCTTATCTATGTGATGACCTAAATGACTTAATTAAGCTAAAATTTTAACAAGTTATACTTAACTTGTGAAATTCATCAAACAATTATTCAAATCCATATACTTTCCTATACATTTATATTATCAAAAAATAAAAATAAAAATAAAACTATTAAATCATATTTCAAAATATCTCAATTCGAATACATGAAAAATATTTGAACTGGAATTAAATTTAAATAAAAATTTGGAACAGTTCTTGTCATACATGCATCCAAAAGATCAAATCAATGATGAGGCTGCATCTGTTTGGGAGACATAGCCCTTGACTTCTATAGAGCTCACATAAATGAAGGGAGAAACGGTGTCCTCACTCCATAGTTTAGGCCCTAAAATAAAAAGACACTATGCCCTAGAAATTTCAACCTAAAAAGGCCAAACACTGAAAAAAGGGTGAAAAGTTGGAAACCAACGACGGCCTTTTTGGGTCTGTGCTATGCTGCACTGTACCACCATCAGGGAAAAAAAAAGACCCCTAAGCACGCTCACGCGTGTCTCTGTCACTGCCCCCACATGGGCCCCACGAAGCATCAGATTCCATCCAACGGCTGCCGTTTTTGATAGGAAGGTTTGATGTTGGGTTCCACCCGAGAACGAGGGGCCAATGAAAGATTGACACGTGTCAATGCGTTTAAAAAATTGCTGTAGTTGCCTTCTTTAGTCCTTGTATTTATGATTTGATGCTCGAAATTGTAATGTGCGTTACAGCTGTCTCCAAATTTTTCTACAATTATTTTTTTTTAATTGTAATTTTGGAGTGATTTAATTTCAGTCACAATATAATAAAGGAGTTGGTCTAATAGTTAGGCCTTTAAATTATTCGTTTGCACTTCATCCTCCCCATCTATGTAATAGTTTCCGACAAAAAAAATAGACAACTCTCCCCTTCTATTTACATTCTTGTCCATTTGAGTTCCATTGATTTTGAGCTTTTATCTTTAAAAATTCTTTATTGATATACTTGTTGCAGTTTATTCAACTCAAGCGAAAATAGTTTAAACAAGTCATTAAAAATCTAGTTTTAAAGAGTTAGTCACAATATAGTTTTGTGAAGTTCTTTTAAAAAGTTTCTTTTAACTTTTTAAAAGATACAGCAAATACAACTTATAACTTGAAATGATTCATTTAACATAACGCTATATGAATTTAAAAATTAAATTTGATAATTATAACTATTAATTTTATTGTGGGTCTTAGTATTTATTGAGACCCACTACCTATTCAATAATTGTGATTATCAAATTTAATTTTTAAATCCTATAACATATTACTCATTCCTTTATCTTTAAAAAGAGAAGTAAGTCTATGCACAAATAGATAAAAACATTTGAAGGGTAATTTTTTTAAAAGGAAAAATGTAAAATTTGAAGATTGGGCTCCCATGTGAATTCATCTATTTGTTTCATTTTTTTTGTTTGACACTATTATAGACAAATATCAAAATTTTGTTTCGTTGTATTTTTTTGATCACTTAAGAAACAAAATGTTTCGACGTGTTTTGAAAATATTTTGATCCGTTTAAAAAACATAATCAAAAAAATTAAAAAATTTAATAATTATTTTTCCAAAATATAGATCGAATTAAACTAAAGGATTTTGAAATACTTTGAAACATTCCAAAAAAATTGTGTAAATGCATTGAAATATTACAAAATGCCTCAAAATGTTATAAAACACCTCGAAATATTATAAAAACACATCAAAATATTATAATTTTGATTTGATTCATTTCGGTCTCCTTAAAAAACAGAAAAGTTTTGAATGTTTCCTGTTTGAAATAAAATTTTAATCATTGATTATGTGAGATATGAACGACAAATTTATTTCATACTTAATTTGCACACGAACAGCCAAGAACGATGAGATCGAATTATACATGATTCAAATTTTCTTTCATTTTATGTATATTTCTATAATATTATTCTTTGTCTAATTAGATTGATGTTGCTATGTTTGAAGTTTAACGGTGATCAAATAAGAGTTGTTTTTGTTGTTATTTTCTAAATTAAACTTCAAGATGATAAAGTTAGCATATATTTAAAGCCATCTTAATCCCCATGCCTTGCGTTCAACAACTACCAATAGGGGTGCAATTTGGGTTGGGCAATCCGAATTCAACCCGAGCCCAACTCGAAAAAATTAGGGTTTGGACAAGAGTTTTTAATACTTGGGTTGAGCTTAGGTCAAAAAATTCTAACCAGAATTGAATTTGGGTTGGGCTCGGGTTAAGGCCTCATGAACCCGAGTTCAACCCGAACCCAAAAAATTAAAAAAAAAATTTATATATATATAAAGTATTAGCACTAATTTTTATTTTTGTTCTATCGTTTTTTGTCTCTCTCGTTCTCTCAGCCTCTCTCGTTAAAAACTTGGTTGAAATTATTGATTGTTAATTTAGATGAATATGATGTAGTATATGTATTAGGTTTAGAACAACAAGTCTATTTTTGGCTCTAACCGAATTGAACCCGTAAAGTAACCCAAAATTAACCTGAATTCAACCCGAGTCCGCCCGAATTAAACTCGGGTACTGCTCGGGTTGAGTTTCCCAACCCAAGGTAGGGTTAGGGTTGAAAATTATATACTTAGGGTTGATTGTTCAACCCGTCCAATCCGCCCGAGTTGCACCCCTAACTACCATAAAACAACAAACCTAAAGCCTTGTTTGGTAAGAGGGACAAATAGGTGAATGGAAAGCTGAGGATGGAAAATGGGAGAGAATGAAGCATTTTTTATTGTTCGGTGATAAAGAAAAAGTGAATGAAAAGGAAAAATGGTAGGAAATAGTTTCCTTTGGGCCCACTAATTCTTATCCACCTAAATATGGACGGAAAAATGGGAGAGTATTGTTGACTGTAATAGGTAATTGAGTCAATTTATATTTATATCTTTATTAATTATATATTTTCTATAACTATCATGCTAACTACCATTTGTATAAAGGGCATAATTTTAAAATATTGTTATATAACTGATACATGGTAAGACACTTGATGACATTATTTAATTATTTTTTTGTAATAAAATTCTAAATCACATATGTAATTTTTTTTTCTATATCGAACAATAAAGAAAAATTCTATTGTAAGAAGTAAATGCCAAATAAATTTCTTTTCATTTCTCTTCTAAATGAACACATGTACTATAAATTCAAGTAGGACCTATTATATATATATATATATATAATTCAAACACTAATTAACAATAAATTTATAATTTAAACTTAAAAAGACGTTATAGATTTACGATTTCGTCTATTTACAGCGTAAATTGAGTTGTTGACTATTTTTTTTGGTATACATATTTGTATTTATTTGTTTATTTATTTTTATAACTAATTAGAGTGACATTGAATCCCTTAAATTTATTTATAATAAACAATTATTTATATATAAGGATATAATGATAAATAAAATACATATATCTTTTTTTCCTTTCACTTTTTTTCGAATACCAAACAATAAAAAATTAATTCTTTCAACTTTCTATCTATCGTACCAAACACAAAAGCGAAAAAATATTTTTATTTTTTTCAAAGATGAAAAGTATATTTTTACGCTTTTTAATTTTTTTAATTTTTCATCCCTTCGTTTCAAAAGGAGGATAAGAATCATTTCTCTTCCGGCCGAGAAAAGCCATTTTTTTCCTCTCTTATTTTAATGAAGAAACACCAATTTGAAGTCAACAGTTTATCCATTTTTCAGGGTTCATTATGCTGCTAGACACCAAAGTTTTAGCCACATCCTTATTTTTCAGCCTGCAGTCATAGATTCCATTTTCACATCCAGTTCTGCTTGTCAGTTTCTGCCCCTCTCTCTCTCTCTCTCTCTCTCTCTCTCTCTCTCCGCAATAATTTATGATTACATTTCATCCAATCAACTTGCCTTAATGACCTTTTCTGTCCACACTGACACGAACTCTTTCTATGTAACCATTTCTCTTTCCTTTTATAACTTTTTTGGGGTTAAATAAAAGACTAAAAACAGAGTCTTTACTCTTGAAAAGAAAAATTCTCCAAACCTGTTTCAACCCTATCCTCTCATTTCATTTCTGGTTTTGACAACAAGTTTTGAGTTGCAAGAATGACTGTTGAGCAGGAAATTGATGAGCAGAATGATCAGTTTCCAGTGGGTATGCGGGTTCTGGCCGTGGATGATGACCCAACTTGCCTCATGCTATTAGAGACTCTGCTTCGTAAATGCCAATACCATGGTCTGTTTCTTTTTTTACACTTCAATAATTTGATTATTCCTCAATTTTTTGATTTGGTTGTGAATTTTTGCAAAAAGGGTCCTTAGATTTGGGCATCTTTTTGAAGATTTTGTTTTTCTTTCGGTGTTAGAAGAGAATATATGCAAGATATTTTTTTCTCTCTCTCTTTCTTCAATTTGTTTTGGTGAGATTTGGGAGATAGGTTTTTGGATTTGTGCAATTTTATTTGGATTTTTTTCTTCGTTTAGTTTTTTGGAAGTCAATTTATGCAACTGCTCTTTATTTCCCCGCAACACATACCCGTTTGTGAATTGGTTTTGAGTTTTGGGAGATGAATTTTGTTCACAGATGATTGGAATATAATTAAGTCTCTATCTCTCTCACACAAACACGCAAACACATTTCTAGGTATCATATTTTTTGATGATTTAGTTGTGAAATCTGCGTTATTGATTTCACTGGACAGTGAGTTAAACTACAGTTTACTAGCACAAAAGAAAACACCCAGCTGAATTTCGTAGAATTTAAGAAAAATGCGGATCTTCTTGGAAAATGGGTAAATAAGTTCCAAAAATGGGTTGTTAAAGCTGTTAAAATCTTGGTCATTACTGCAAGATTATTGACTGTTACATTTGTATCTTTTCTATGAAATCACAAATCAGTTTTATTTGAGTTTGGATTTAAATTTGAACTAATACAGTTTGATTGTACTTATGTTCTCTTTCCTTTTCATTCCTTGGTAAATGCTAATGAGTTGGTCTGCTTTTAAATATGGGACATGGGTTTTGCAGTTACAACAACCAGTCAAGCAATCACCGCCCTGAAAATGTTGCGTGAAAACAGAAACAAGTTTGATTTAGTTATCAGTGATGTTCATATGCCAGACATTGATGGTTTTAAGCTGCTGGAGCTTGTGGGGCTTGAGATGGACCTACCTGTTATAAGTGAGCTAATGAACGCCTTTGCATTACTTATCATTATAGAGTATCAGACTTATGTTCTTGCCTGTCTGGTATTCTGTTTTGAATTGCTGGTGATTGATAAGTGAATCTGTGTTCTCAAAAAGGATCATTCAATTAGCTATAAAAGAAGTAATAGTTGTCCTGATTCATTGCTTTCCCATGAAATTTTGTTGTCCAAATCTGTGGCTTACACTTTCTAAATTTGTTCAAATAACTGTAAAGTAATATACTTTTGATGTCTGTAAATTGAAGTAGGAAATAGGAATACACTGCTGGTGGTTGTGCTTTGGCTGGGCTGTGATATAATTTTTGCTTTTTTGTGTAATTCCAGTGTTATCAGCCTATGGAGATACCAAGCTTGTGATGAAGGGAATTTCTCATGGGGCTTGTGATTATTTGTTGAAACCTGTTCGAATAGAGGAGCTAAAGAACATCTGGCAACATGTAATTAGGAGAAAGAAGTTTGATGCCAAGGACCAGAAAAATTCTGACAAGGCTCATTTTGAGTCTGGTGAAGTAGGAGAAGGGTTCCCTGGAACCGGAGATTCTGACAAGAGTGGGAAGCTCAATAGGAAAAGGAAGGACCAGAATGTCGACGAGGATGAGGAGCGTGATGAGAATGGACAAAATATTGAGGATCCATCAACCCAGAAGAAACCTCGAGTTGTTTGGTCGGTGGAGCTGCATCGCAAATTTGTTGCAGCTGTACATCAATTGGGCATTGACAGTAAGTTCTTCCCTGTTCATAACGCCTAGTTTTTCAAATTTCTTAGAGAATTTTTGCACTATTTTCTGTTTATCTTTTAGCATCGCACAATTTATGCACTATGATTCATTTCCATTTAGTAATTAGATCGTACAACTGGATATAAGTCATTGTTTTTGAAAATCCTAATCTACCAATATTTTCCACTCATGTTGGTTACTAATATTCTCTGATATGTTCATGAGCTTGAAAGAATTCCTCTTACTGACTGAACTACTTCTGATATCTCTGAAATTTCTTGTGTGTTATTGATCATATATGCTGAGCCTCTCTCTTGCAAAGGGCTTTTCATTTTTCCTTTCATCAAATTTCACGTACTTTTTTTGCAGAGGCTGTGCCTAAAAGAATTCTAGAGTTGATGAATGTGGACAAGCTTAGCAGAGAGAACGTGGCAAGCCATCTCCAGGCACAAAACTTTTTTTTCCTTCCCTCTGTTGCATATCATAAACTCTTTTCTTTTATCAGAGCTTACTATCTTGCTCTATGGATGCAGAAATATAGGCTGTATCTGAAAAGGATTAGTTGTGTAGCAAGTCAGCAAGCTAGTATGGTTGCAGCTTTAGGAAGTTCAGATTCTACTTATTTACGAATGAGTTCTTTGAATGGGCTTGGAGATCTTCGACCTGCGGCTGGCTCTAGACAATTTCAGAATGCTGCTTTCGGATCCTTCTCACCCAGTAGTGTAATTGGTAGATTGAACACTCCGGCTGGTCTGGGTATGCGTGGCCTTTCTTCTTCAGGAACGGGTCAATTGGGGTTTACACAAAACTCAAGCAATCCCATTAATGATCTGGCTAATTTCCACTCAGTTATACAAACTGGAAATCAAAATGGGAATATACTTCAAGGATTGCCATTGTCATTAGGACTTGATCAACTACAACATAATAAGGTTATTACTCAAATTGGAGAGCTCAACTCCACTGCTAATGATTCCATGGTTCATCCCATTTCCAATGGCTTCTCGGATATGAAAATAAATGTTGGTAGCTCAAGAAATTCCCTTTTGGGTGTTCCTAATAATGCCGCAACATTACAAGGTCACCTTCAAAACAACCAAAGAGCAGGGATTTTTGGAAATCATTCTTCTGTTGCAGATGTGTCCTTAGATTCTAAACTTTCTTCTCCCTTGCTGGATTTTGGTCGATGTAATGACAACTGGCCATCTGCTGTTCAATCATCTGAGGTCCAATCTGATTCTTTTACATTAAGACAGTGTTTCAAACAGGCCACTCCAAGTGACTTGAGAGGTGATGTTTCTTCAATGGCCATGCATATAATGACTAATCCTCGGGATGTGTCTTCCATAATCTCAGTAGTGCCAGATACAGGAACAGATTTACCATCTCGAGCGGAACAAGTTAGCAGTAATGCTGGTCAGAATATGGATTTTGCCTTAAAGCAAGGGTGGTATGACCCCAAAGAGGATGCAGCTCATCACTCAAACCTTACATGCATCTCAATGAATTCTTCAATCTATCCTGACACTGTGGTAGGTCCATACATCCAGAGGTCAGACGCAAGGAAAAAAAATTGCCATACAAGTAGTCATTTAAATGTGATTGGACAATCAAATTGTCTAGATCATCCCTTAGTTATGCAGCATAAGGAGGTTGAACAATCAGTTGTAGAGACAACACTGAAGTCTAACCAAGGTTATCTAAAGGAGCAAAGGAAGCCTCTGGGAAATTATGCTTATGACAATGTTGGCTCCTTGGAAGACGTAGTAAGTGCGATGATGAAACAGGTATGGTTAAGTATTAAGTTTGCTGTTTCGATTTCCATAGTTTTTTTTTTTTTTTTTGGGGGAGGGGAAGGGGAAAGAGGAGGGAGACTTGAACCCTTGACCTTAAGAAGGCAAAACCTTCACAAGGTAAAGAGTATCATTGGATCAAAAGCCCATTAGTCGATTGATTTCCATAGTGATCTTTGCTTATGAGTCTTGATCTTGAACCCTTAATTAAACAATTCATCGTGCTGACCTGCGGGTGTGGATGCTGCAACTATAATCTTATTAAAGATATAACTATAACAGGAACTTTTTGTAACTTACAATGTGTTGCATGCTTATTTCTTGACTCTGTTCTCCACTTCTCAAATAGACCTTGTTAGATTTGTTTTTCCTGTTAGTAAATAGGACTTTCCCAAAAGCAGGACGAGACATATTAAATCTGCGGATGCTGCTAAGCCTCGTTTGCAAATTGCTTTCCCTTTGTCTGTTGCTGGTACAGAAAGACACCTAGTGTTCTTGCTTTCCTAGTCAGCTTAACGTATCATGAACATTAAGTGTGTTGTTAGAAATAGGACGGCTAAGGTTTCATTTCATTCTGCATCTCTATCAGTATTGGATCTCTAGATCTCTGCCAGTAGGAATATAAAGTTCATGTTACTATGGAGTTGTGTGCACATTACACTTTTGCTAGATTCCATAGGTCTTGGCCAATTGTTAGACTCTAGGGCTTCCTGAACATTTGTTTTTGGTGGGGGTAGTGATGAGTTTAATCTCCCTGCAACCTTGAACGAATTAGGGTTTTGCTAGGCCTATACTTAGTAGTTTAATCAAATTATTTGCACCACACTATGCATTTATAAATCCAGAACAAGAAATTAGTTCATAAGTTAACGTCCGATACTTCAAATCTAACATCGATCAGATATATTCTAATTCAGAACAGGAACTTGCCCTTCTTTGTTTTGCCATGGATTCTAAAATCAATATTGCCAAATAATTTTGTTGTAGTCTTCTGGTCTCATGTAGGGATTCCTTCAGTCAGCTCCTTAATACTTTAGAAACAGAAACACCAAAATTTATTTCCTTCCCATGAACAAAATTGTTTACACTTAAACATCAAATCATTATTAATGAGTTTCTTTTCCTCATTGCGATTTTTTCCAGAATTTTGCATAAGCAGCTTACTAAAAACTTTGATGCTGTCATAAACTTGCTATTATCATATTGGAACTTAGTATATGATATTTCCAACCCGAAGAGAAAATCTACTCATAAGAGGACATATCTGTTTACACCTGGTGTCACCTTGGGGTAAGTTTTATGTGATCCTCACATTTGTCAAAACTCCCCATTGAATTAAAGCTCCACTTATTAATGTCATGCTTGCCAAAATTTAAGTGGATCAGAGATCAAGAAATGCCAAATTGAGATAGTTAGCGTTTTATAATATAATCATAAGTTGGAGCACTATTTTGGTGGGGCATCTTTTGTTGTTGGATTGATTTGCAACTTGGCAAGTACAATGGCTTCAAGAGAAGGATACAATACCAAATGCAGATTCTGAGAACTATAATCCACACAAAAGGTTGTTTGGTGATGTAAGACGTTTACTCTCTCTCGGACACCAAGTGCAAATGTATCTCCCCCATATACATTAAGGACAGGTCCAAAAAAACAGCAAATTTTCAAACCATTTCAACTCATTGGGCTTAGGCTTAGCATCTCAACCTCAGGTGTGGTCTTAGTTCTCACAAACATTTTCCTTGAAGAATCCAAAGGATGTTATTTGCACCTTCTTCAATGCTTTTGCTAATGACATTGATATGTTCAAGATGCAAATGCTATAGCTTAGAAGGCTAGAGAATGTGCTTTTGACCAACATCTATCCTTATCATCCTTTAGATACTCCCTTATCCTCCACGCTAATTTCCTTGCAAGAACATATGGTCACATGTTGCCTGGTCATTGACGAAAGATCTTATTAACACTCCTAGGCAAGGTGACAAATATACCAGATTTAACCATAAAGTAGTGGCTAGCCAACGACCTAGTATATGGCAAGTTTGCTTCAACCTTAACGCTGCGTGAAAAGCAACTACAATAATTCAACAAATGGAAGGTGGGACATAGGGATAAGTTAACCAACTAATTTCTCTTACCTGCCTCCTCTTCTCTTTGACACCAGATGCTATTAAGGGCCTCCATCATCAGAACGGACCTTTTAAACAATCAATAATCCTGCTGGAGTGCCACCGACTAAAACTAAAGACCTAGTCAGCAGGATTCATCCTTTCCATATTCCATTCTTCCCATGATAATTCTTATAGGCTGGAGACCCATTATGCTTCCGTCCAGAATTAGTCTACAACTTTATATAACCTGAATGCTGAATACAACCACCATTTAGTTGCAATAAACAAGTTTCTGACTTTATTGAGGTTTTGAATTAGTAGAGTAGGATTAAAGATCTCAATGGAATTCCATGAGAATCAATTATTCTCTCCAATGAAGTTGTCATTTTAGTCTAATAGCAGTTACCATGAAAATATTTCAGGCATGATATCACATTTATGCCATTCTTGCACTACAAATTGATGTCATTGCTTTACTACCTTTTGTGACTTGCAAAATTAGACTTTTTAATAAATTGTAGATGTCACATCTAATTTTATCTACTTAGTTCCACTTTTGATTGCAACTTCGTGTCCTTCGCTAACCCCATCCAACCTCACCTTGACCAAATCTATGATTCAGAGTGAGCTCTTAATCCGCTCTAAGAATTCTGGAGTCTGGACTCTCTGATTGGAAGAAGTCCTTGTTGAGTTCCACTTTCTATCCAATCCAGGGAACTGCCTTCTTCCACCTGATTTTACATGTGTAACTGGAGAGCTCCCCTTTCGTAGATCAAGGTGACCTTCTCTTTGAATATCTCATGAGAGAGGAAGAGGTTGGCTTCCTTCTGGTTTCCATCTCCTTGATCCCCACATTTTCTCTCATGGTTGAAATTGGTGGTTCTGATAATTACCAGTGTGGGATGAAGAGCTTAGAGATGTAGAAAGATGAGATATTTCCAGTAGTTGCTTGAGGTAATTTTCTGGGGAGCTTATTTGGTTAGGAACAGGACAGTTTTCCTTGGGTTTTGATTTGGTGTCAGATATGTTTCTAGGTTTGACGAAGTCTATCTGTGAGTTCAGTTTTAAACGCTAGATACAATTGTTTTAGACGGATAAAATGAAGATCTTAAGATCTGAAAGTTGAAGGGATGGGTTGATGTTTTTTGAGCTTGTTCCGACATTGATTCCTTGGAAGTTTGGTGGCGATAAAAATTTTGGAGCTTGTTCTTAATTATTGATTTCTTTGAAGCTCGTTTATGGGGTTTTCCAATTTGAATAAGCTTGCTGAAAGAAGCACTTGAGCTCTTTCAAAAGTCTAAGTTTATGGAGTAATCCCATGGATTTAAGTTAGTTTGGGGATGAAGATGCTGGTTATACGACGCATGGACAATACGGTTCGTCTTGTGCACATGTGCCCATGCAAATTCTTGGGTATGGTGGGCAGGACATAAAGATGCTTCCAGGGAAGCATTTTGCTTTCTGCGTGCATCTTTTTTTCACTCTGGAAGTATTGTGATGAGGATTAGTCTGTTTACTTCCAATTTTGTGCTGTTTGAATGAGTACCTAGATTTTGCACAATATACACCTTCTAGTTAGAATCTCGAATAATATCCTCTGATAATCCTTCTTGTTTCATGATGCTTCACATCACCAATAACTACAGTATGATATAGAACCTAGGTGATTTGTTTATGATGTGATGTTAATGTCGGTTAAATGAAAATTTTACTTTCTAAGCCATTACGTTTCATATTCAATTTCATTTTTATCGTTGAAAACAAGTATCCCCTTATTTTACTGTGATCCTGAACAAGACTTTTGGATTATTACAAGTCTACCTAATCTTCTGATTAGAACAATTACTTTCAAGTTTCTTCTTTTAAATAGTAAATAAGAGATTGTTACATGATGCAGGAACAAGACAATCTGATGTTTAAGGACGACGATTTTGGATCTGATTATTACTCACAAAGGTGAAGAGATGTTAGAAGGCAGATGACATTGTATGTGATTACTCTCTTTCTAGGATTTGCATTTGAAGGTAGAATTGTAGTCAGACTCCTAAGAAGAGGATTTAGAGCAGACTAATACCTTATTTTATGGGTTTCTCATCATGTAATTCATAATTCCACTATCTAAGTCACTTCTCTGAAATTATTGTAACTGTTAAGTTATTGCAATGGCTATTTGCTTTTATTGTCTGACTACCAAAATCTGTTCTTATTATGACTGAGCATTGCCAAGGGAATGTGTCTGACATGTCATTTGTAATGAGTTTCACTTTAAACAAGTCTACCTAGGTTGTTACATGTGTCTGACATGTCATTTGGTGTAAAAAAACCCCCCAAAGATGAACATGACACATTTAATTAATCGTATCGAATTGACTAACACTAACAATATCTGACCATTAAACATGACCTGTTTGACCCAAACACGTGTTTAACATGTTTAATAGATGGGTAATTTTCAGGTTGACATAACACACATAAGATCCATGAGACACACTTGGGTATACTACTGGTATTTGGGTCAACACGATATGTTCAACCTGTTTATTACAAATAAATACGTAATTCATCTAAAGTTTCGAATAATTTTTTCACCAATACACTTCTCATTAATGAAATTAAGTCAAATGCATTTCTGCCAAGAACTAGAGTTGGATAAAGCTAGAACTTTCAAAACTAATAATGTTAAGACGTGATTAGAGCTACATAACATGATGTAGGCAGACTGCCATACGTAAGAAACAAAAATCAGTCGTAGTGCATGGGTGCCTAAATCATAATCCAAAAGTCAGGTCTTGATCGACCGAAAGGAGGGCATCAAATGTCAGTTTTGATCATCCAAGCATGGTGCATTGGTGCCTATCTTGGCAGTTGACCGATCCTAATTAAAAGAAGAAATAATTCAATCAAAAAAGACAAAAAAGACAGTCCAAAAATCAAACCAGACAAGACTTATTACCACAAAATCAAGCTAGTCTATGTACCTCCGATGAATAATCATCATCAATCACAGTTGAATCATTATGGGTGACATTGATATTCATCATATCTTCTATAACGTCATCCATTTGTTTTGGGTGCATGATCTAAACGAAATAGATATATATTCATAAGATGTCATTATTTAAAATAGGGTTAATTACAAGTTGCACTCTGAAGATTATTCAAATTTTAATTTGTACCTTCAAAGATCAAAAAATCTCAATTTATACCCTCAAAGATAGAAATTTGTATCAATGTGCATTCCCAAAGATAAAAATTTTAATTTGCACCCTCAAAGATATAAATTTGTATCAATGTGCACCTAAAACTAAATTGATAATTATATCTATATCTTTTATGTTTGTCACTTAATCATTTGGACCCCTTC